TCAGTTTACAAATGCACTTGATTACAAATTTTTTTGTATATGAAGTCAATTTCCTAATAAAATTTGACATGGTTAACGAAGTTTGCCTTGGATTACGAGTCATTTGTTGATACAATACTTGTATGGGTCGAGCGCATGGGTTCTGCTGGGCATGGGGCGAGGCAGTGTTTCCCGCCAAGTGTATAGCGTATATCCTAGTATCCCGAATTTTCCCATAAGAAATAAATTGAATTAATCTGTTCCACACTCCAAAAAATATTAACTTCAATTCCACACTCCCAAAAAGATTAACTTCACAATACATTTCATACATAATACACACAAAAATTTTGTACAGTATATGTATAGTAAAAGTTATAGCTTATCTTTATTGATGACTCTTGTTGACGTATGGAAGACGGTGAGGAGGCGGGGGTTTGGGGAGGAGGAGAGGTGTTGTGTTTGGTAGGTGAGTCCCCCTTCCATTATAACATCAGGCAGTGATGACTTCTCTAGGGTACTGTCTCTCCTATGGATTTTGCAGGCATACCACTAGGACCTGGTTGTGGTTCACTGCTTGCTTGTCTTACTAAGAATCTGTCTAAAGACACTTTTTTTTATCCCTCCATTGTAACACTTGTCTGTAGTGAGACATCACATTGTTATTAAAAAGGTCAGTGCAATGGCCTGCTACAGCTTTATTTGGGTGAGTTTTTTCAACAAAGCTTTGCAGTTCTTCCCATACTTCACACATTTTCTTAATGAGGAAAGGATATTCAACTATTCAACTCACAACTATTTTCTTAGGTTGAACCTTATAACTGACTTTCTTGGGACCTATGGCATGATATATAATAATTACTTTTATGTTCAAAACCAAAAAAGCAGAAAAACAATGAAATTCTTTACAAAGAATTCAAGCGTGATCATCACTAAGTTGTTGAAAGCACTAAGCAGTTCACTGGTAAACTGAAGCGCGGCCGCCTGTGTCACCAGGAATCACGCGCTCAGTTGACCCATACGTGTATCAACAAAGTCGCAAGGTGAGGCAAAGTTCGTAATCCGACTCAAATTTTCCGAAGAAATTGAGTTCGTAACCCAAAAAATTTCTTAAAGAGGGACGTTCGCTACCCGAGGTTCCACTGTACACCTAGTCAAATTTTATGAGGAAACTGACGTCATATACCGAAAAATTTGTAATCCGGGGCATTCGTAAACTGAGGTTTCACTGTAGCTCTACCACCTCATTGGTTGAGTTTAGGAGCTCTGTACATACCAGTTCCTCTTTAATATATGGATCTACTTTTCCATTTGACCTAATTTCTCTATCACATACATATAGATTATAATTTGGGATCCAGATTTCACTATCCATATAATTTTTCATATGGGTCCTAAGTTAATGTGGTCCTAAGATGATAGTTTTCTATTCAAAACCACACCTAAATCTCTTTCTTTTTTATAATTTTTTAACCTCTGGTCTGTGCACCTGTTTATAGCTTACAATGCCCTAGTGCAAAAGGAAAACAATAAATGCCCCCCCCCCCCATATTTTTCTTCTAATTTTGTTAAGATGCATTCCCTGATTATGGAAGGAAACCAGCATTGAATGTAATGAAATGCCAATGTCTGGGTGAGCCAGGAAGGGAAGGGCAGACAACCCTTCCAGGTTGTTGGATCCATATGACAACCTGGAAGGGAGGGAAGGGAATCAGGGAGCCACCTGGACTCACCCAGAAATTGGTATGTCATTAGATTCAACACTGACTTTCTGTGGTGGAACTCCTTGTGACTCCTGAAGCTAACTACCTATGGAGAAGGGAAAATTACATGGAAACTAACCAGAGAGGAGAGAGCACTGCAAGATTCTTAATGAAGATGAGACCCCTGGCTGAGAGATATGACCCAAAGCCGCACAAAGGTGTTGAGGCCCAGAAACATTCACTAAATACATGGCCATCAGAACCCTGTTTGACGGACTGTAAGTTTCACAAAATTTTGGTAATTTTTCATAGGTGGAGGAATTATTTTGGCACTTTTTGAGGCTGCGGTCTCATTTTAAGCATGCCGTAGTCTGTTTTGTTTCGCTGACTTTATGGGTGCTTTTCCTGGTAGTGGCAAACATGAATTACTTTAAATGTAAGGTTTTCATAGTGCCACCACGCCCTGCGCCTCTCTGAGGGGGCCAGGTTCTGGCTCATGCTCCTTGGTAGGCCAATTAAAACTCCACAATTCATGGCACCTAGTAGTATGGCATTGAGCTATCTATAGATTTCCCAATACTAATATAACTTAATTCTCAGATAACCTAAGGAATCTTATCATAAACAAAAAGCTCAACAAAAATCATATCATTCTAGGAGATGACTTGAATATTGACCTGTCAACAAAATAGCCCTCAAGTCGATTATGTCCAAAACAGCATGAACTCCTGTATGCTAATCCCCACAATCACCAAGCCCACTCGAATCACTCAAACATCTGCTACTACATTGAATCACTTATGGACTAACATAACAGTTCCCCTTGCATCTGGTATAATCACTGACAGAACAACTGACCACTATCCTTCCTTCCTGATAGCAAACATGGACATAATACCACCATGATACCTAGAAACTTACCTTCAGGCTACACAGTGAAGCAGCAATAGGCAATCTTACAAATGCACTTCACAATACAAACTGGTAATCTGAATTCAATAATACACAGGACATAAATTAATTAGCAAACATCTTTTCCAAAACTCTTAGCCTCTACAACACTCACTGTCTTCTCCTCACCAAGCAAGTAACTGCCAAAAGATTAAACAACTCCTGGCTCACAAGTGGCATATTCAAAGCAATCAACAAGAAACATGAAAATGAAAAAAACTTAGGATTAGTCTAGTTATAAAAGAAGTAGTTAAGAGATACTCCTCAATGCTTACCAGTATAATAAGAAGAGCAAAACTTTCTATTACTATATGAGAGTAGATTCAAAGAAGCAAAAGGAAACATGAAAAGCACATAGAAAGCCATCTCTAACATCCTAGGATTTAAACAGCAATCACAAAACAAGCAGCTACAATTCTCCAAGGATGGTTATACACCTGCAACAGATTTAGAAATGGCAACTGAATTTAATAGCTTTCTTTTCATCAGCTGGTGCTAACCTTGCCAGAAAAATCCCACAGAATCCAGACACGTGTTACTACATATCTTACAGGCAGCTATCCTAACTCTTCTCCTTTTACCACTCAGCTCGACATATGTTATGGCCATCATTCACTCCCTAAAAACCAAAGCTAGGAACACTAGTGAAATACCTTCTATGGTATGAAAAGAGTGCTGCTCATGCCCTTGCACTACCCATACCCATAGCATATCTTATTCAACAGATATCAAGAGTGTCATACTTTCCATGATATCTTTAAAAAGCACAAGTAATGCCAGTTTATAAAGGAGGCAATATGGCTTACGTAAACAATTACAGACCGATTTCAAATCTACCCATGTTATCAAAAATATTTGAAAAAATTATTTACAAACAGCTCTACTACCTACGGAAACACCTCGAGGTAACCTCAAGGTAGGTAACCTACCTTGTAACATTCAACGCATATTCGATCCTATCTTGGTGACAGACACCAATATGTAGCCATCAATGATATAACCTCCCGCACTCTACCATTAACTGTAGGAGTGCCACAGGGCAGCATCCTATGACCTCTCCTATTTCTTGTATACATCAATGATCTGCCTAACATCTCTAACATTCTTAAACCTATACTAGTTGCTGACAATAATATCTTTATCTACTCAGACCCCAACCCACACACACTAAATAATGTTGTAAATAACAAGTTAAAAAATGTCCACTCAAGAATGTCAACCAACAAACTCACACCAATCATAAAAAAGACCTACTGCATTATATTTTTAAGCAAATCAACAAATGCAATTCAGCTTCAGATATACAATGTTAATATCAGCAATAAAACTTATGGAAAGTTCCTTGGCCTATACATAGACAAGAGACTCAACTTCAGCACCAACATACAACACATAACCAAAAAAGTCTCAAAAACGGTCGGTATACTTTCTAAAATCAGATATTATGTTCCAAACTCTGCTCTCCTCTCATTATACTACGCGCTAATCTATCCCTATCTTACATATGGTATCTGTGCATGGGGTTCAACCACTGCAAACTACCTCAAGCCCATCATCACCCAGCAAAAATCTGCTATCAGAACAATAACAAACTCTGTTTTCAGACAACACACAGCCCCTCTGTTTAAATCCCTAAACATGCTAAACATAAACTCACTCCACACATTCTCTTGTGCCATTTACATGTACAAAACCTTGTTCCTAAATGCAAATCCTGATCTGAAACTCTTCCTTGACAGATGTAATAGAACCCATAATCACCACACCAGAAATAAATATATCTTTGATATCCCCAGAGTCAAACTAAATCTGTGTAAAACACTATGCAAATAAAGGGACCTAGTCTATGGAACTCACTCCCTAACGAATTAAAAAGCTGTCCAACCTATGCCTTATTCAAAAGTAAAACCAAAAAGTACCTAATTTCATCCTCATAGTTTCCTACCTAGTGCTTCAAACTTGCACTGTATCTTGTGCTACCCACTCCTCCAAAATATGTGCCTAAGCCATACAACTTCACCGTTGTATTCACTGCCATCATCTTATATCATGATTGTTATGTTGAATGCAAATTTTACTACAATGTACCTAGAAATAATCCTCAAATTATGCTACAATGTACCTGTTGATAATCCTCAAATTTTACTATAAGGTACCTATTAATTTTCTTCAAATTTTCTTACAATGTACCTGTTAACATTCTTCAAATTTTGCTACAAATTACCTACTTAAAATTATCTGTTAGATTAAGGACCTGCCTGAAATGCTATGCGTGTTAGTGGCTTTACAAGAATGTAAAAACATCAATGCTATGTACTCTCATAAACCCAATGTACCTTCTTGTATATAAATAAATAAATAAATAACCAGCCAGCCAGAACCAAACTCGCTTCCATGACGTACATGCTACCTAGTTGGAAGAAAAGAGGTGTGTTTGTGTGATGAAGAGCAGAATGATAATGTCAACTACATTGAAAATACTTCAACTACACTAGCTAGGTGTCTTTATCTGATTTACTTGAGGGCCACTAACCCTAGTGACTTCGATGAGGACAGTAAGTCAGCAGCTTATTGAAGGTTTCCCCCCATGATGATCTTTTCCAGATGTAGATTTTTAAACTTAACACAGTTTTGGCATTTAAGACTTCGGTAGGTAGGCAGTTCCATGGGTTTATAACCCTGTGGGTGAAAAAGCATCTCCTGTTCTCTGTCCTACATTGTGGCTTATTGAGCTTGAAATCTTTGCTCCTTGTTTGTGTTACATCTGACCTTTTGAACAAATTGTCCAGATCAACATCCTCCAAATTGTTCAGTATTTTAAAAGTTTCAGTGAGATCAAAGAGTTTCAAAGAGATACAATCGACTTGAGAATGGTCCAGGACGGACCGAAATGTCGTCGTCCCTTCACCTTCTAGTGTGTGGTCTGGTCAACATACTTTAGGCATGTTATTGTGACTCATCTCCTGCATTTCAATGAGATCCACCCTGTCAGGCCTGGTTTACAGTGTTGTTATTCCTGTGGCCATCAACTCTTCCTGATACAAGAGATGACTTAGCTCTGGAATGACTTTTGTTACCTGGTGTTGCAGACAACAGCAGGCAAATGGGGTGCACCAGAGATTTATACAGTTGAATCACTACCTTCTTTTCCTTAAATTCAAAGGTATGCTTGATTATTCTAAGGATTTGGTAAGTTTTTTTACTGCTTCTACCTGTTGTGCAACTTTTAGTGAGTGGTGGATTTCAACTCCAAGGTTCTTTTCTTCACCAATCTGCTGTAATGCAATGTTATTAATTTGATAGTTGTGGTGGGGGTTGTTATGCCCCACATGCATGGTCTTGCATGTGTCAATATTAAAAAGCATTTGCCAGTGTTCTGACCATTTGTGGAGTTTATGTAGATCACTTTGTAAGATCTTTTTCTTGGAGGAGCCCCTACGGCTCCCCGGAGCTTACTAGGCTGATATGCTAATGTCAGACTTTGGCATCAGTCATGTGTATGGAGTTCTTATGGGCCTACCAGGGACCACGAGCCAGAACCTGGCCCCCTCTAGAGAGGCAAGGGGAGCAATGGCCTATGGAAATCCCTGTGTAATTGGAAGCATTCTATATCTGCCATCGACCGGGTTAGGCACCCAGAAAGGTAGGCATCCCAAAACAAACCCCTATTCTGGTGAAAATTGCAACCAAAAGCCGAACGAGTGGATAGAACTCCCCAAACAAAAACGAGGAAACTAATATGATGTCATTCGTCGTCGCGCCGCTGTCTGCGCAGCCCCAGACCTATTGCGCCGGCAATCCACACCTCAGTTCTTGAGGCTGATGCTATCGGCTTGGTTGTGTGCTCTGGCTCCAGTCTTTTTGCGGCACTGTGCCTTGTGTGTGGCTGCTGTTCTCCAGGGGTGCAAGAGCCAGGAGTTATTCCTTAGTACTCGGGCTGCGTACTAATTACACACTTAGACCTTGACAAAGTTAAGGGCTATTCATGCCTGTGCCACCTCTTGGGTGGCTTAATCTTCATCGATTAATCATCTTGACAAAGCCCTCGGGAGAGTGCGAAAGACTTGGTGTAAATTCCTTACATATATTTCACAAATACACAAGTGTGGGTGTTAATCCTATGTTATTATGTCTGTGAGATGATATTACCATTTCTAATGGCCAACTTACATACAGTCCCCGAGATGAAGTGGTAAAACACTTGTCTGGTGTTTCACGAGTGCTTTGTCCAGAGTTTGTATACTTGGTGTCAATCCTTAACTGTAGTCTCTGTTTACCCAACAGTAAGATGAGTACCTGGTTGTTAAATGATTTGGCGGGTCGTATTCCGGGGAACATAGGATTATAAGGACTAGCCCGAAATGCTATTTATTTATTTATTTATTTATTTATTTATTTATTTATTTATTTATTTATTTATATACAAGAAGGTACATTGGGATTGTGAGGATACATAGCATAGTAATTACATTCTTGTAAAGCCACTAGTACGTGCAGCGTTTCGGGCAGGTGGCCCGAAACGCAGGTGGCCTGTTTCGGCTATGCGTGCTAGTGGCTATACAAGAATGTAAGAACTCCTGGAAAATAAACAAAACTATTATTATTATTATTATTATTATTATTATTATTATTATTATTATTATTATTATTATATCCACTAGAGTTGATTAGGAGAAAGAGTTTAGGTGGCATCTGCTGCTTATCAGCAGTGTTTTGTGTGGAGGAATGTCAAACTCCTTCAATTTCAGTAAATTAAAGTTTCACGGCAACTGTTTTAGCAAGGAAATAGTTGGAAAATAGTGAACATTTGGAAGTTTTGAACCTCACCTTATATTTCTCATATACTGTATACTGTGCCTTGAAGTTTGACTTACACAGAATTTGATTTACATGGCATTTGCATGAATGTAATTTCAAATCATAGGCAACCTGTACTCATCTTGCCCACCATCTTTCTCACATTACCCACACATACCTACCCACATTCACTAACAAAATACAAACACCTACTCACCTTAGGCACAAAGCACATGAGAGCCTTGTGTCGTGTATCAACTAGGATGTGTTTCAGCACCACATAGTCCAAAGTCTGGTTGAGATTGAGGGAGGTGCATGTGTGGGCCATGTGTCGCACCCGTGTCTCCTGCACCTGTTCCCATGTCATGTTGCGGGGAAAGTCTTGCTGGAACTGTGAGAGAAATAATTACTGTACTGCTAAAAGATTTTTGGATGTTATAGAAATACTATCATAACCTTTTCATCTCCTCATACCCATATTTTGTTTCAATTTTCTCATTGATTTACAGTACATCACGTTAGTGTGATTTCTTTGTGAACACAAATACAAATACAAATTTTTATTCAGGTAAAGTACATACATATAAGGTAACATACAAAAGTTGATGGATATATAGATAGAGCTAGTACATACAATGTCTAAAGCCACTATTATGCAAAGCATTTCAGGCAGTTATATTATAACACGTTATATTAGGCATAACTATTTGGTCTAGGAATGCTAGGCAGCCTTATATTTGGTTAAAAAAATTTACATTTTGTCCAAATTTAATACAAAAAGTCAACTTTCTGGTAGCTCATCACTCCAGTAAACTATTTAGCCGAATTTAGTATTTTGAATAATGAATACAAATGTTTGTCCAAGTTGACTAAAGACTACACACCTGAATATGTGATGGTGTTTCTCGCCAAGGTGCATGCCAGTAGCTTGGGAAGGGAGGTGCTGAGGAGCATTAGTGAAGGTATGGAGAAGTAGTTCTCCGAATGTTAAATGTGATGGTGAAGGTGTGGGACTGTAACTCAGAGTATGATGAAGGGTGTTGAGATGGCATGGGCCAGTAGCTTACTGGTTACTGAAGAGTGCTGGGGAGCCTATGGAGCTTGAGAGTGTTGGGGAATGAGGGTACTGGATAATAGCTTTGGGGGGGGGGAGTTGGAAGGCATATGAGGCAATACTTGTTAGCTATGGAGAGATGACTGTTCAGTTATGTTGATTCTACACTACCTTACAAGATGCTTCGGTTTGTTTTTGGAAAAATACTTGACAATTATCAGAGGTGTTGAAAACTCCAAAGTTAAGTTTAATGAAACACTAATATCTGAAAGGGCCCCTGGTTGCTTCCTGATGCTATTTTCCTGAGATTGTTTCACACTAAAAGCTAAAAGGCCACATTAGCCACAAATAATTTAGTTTGGCCTACCAGGAACCAGAGCCAGAACCTGGCTCTCTCATGCCCGAAACGCTTTGCGTAATAGTGGCTTTAGGCATTGTATGTACTAGCTCTACCTATAAGTCAACCAATCTTTGTAAACATTTCTTGTATGTATGTACCTTACCTAAATAAACATTTTATTATTTTATTTTATTTTTATAGCCAGGTCACTCCCTGCAATACCTCAAATCTTACCTTACTGACAGGCTCCAGTATGTTTCTGTGAATAATTCAATTTCTCCCACCCTACCCATCAACATTGGTGTTCCTCAGGGCAGCATACTTGGCCCTCTCCTCTTTCTCATCTACATTAATGACCTTCCAAATGCCTCCCGACACCTCAAACCAATTCTATTTGCTGACGACACAACCTTCATTTATTCCAGTCCTGACCCCCTTGCTCTTAATGTCGCAGTGTATACTGAGCTGAATAAAGTCCATCTCTGGCTAACTGCCAACAAACTCACCCTCAACATTGACAAAACTTTCTATATTTTGTTTGGCAATAAATCTTCAAATCAAGTAAATCTCATGATAAATAATACCCAAATTTGTAACAAAATAGATGGCAAATTCCTTGGCGTTCTCATTGACCACAAACTGAATTTCCAGGGACACATTCTAAATATATCAAAAAAAGTTTCAAAAACTGTTGGCATTCTTTCTAAGATCAGATATTATGTACCTCGCCCTGCCCTGGTGATTCTCTATTACTCCCTCATCTTTCCTTATCTCAACTATGGTATTTGTGCTTGGGGTTCTACTACCCAAAATCATTTAAGTCCTCTAATTGCTCAACACAAAGCTGCTATTAGGACAATATCCAACTCTGGCCCCAGACATCACTCGGTACCCCTTCTCAAATCTCTGAATATGTTAGATATTAAGTCACTGCACATCCTCTCATGTGTATTATATATATATATATATATATATATATATATATATATATATATATATATATATATATATATATATATATATATATATATATATTAAACGCTGAACTGTAATACCAATTCTGACCTTAAAAGCTTCATTGAAGGTTGTATCAGAACCCATGAGCACCACACCAGAAACAAATACCTTTTTGATATTCCAAGAGTACGACTTAATCAAACTAGAAATGCTCTATAAATCAAGGGACCCAGAATGTGGAATGACCTTCCCAATCATGTTAAAGACTGTACCTCTCTCAACCAGTTTAAGATAAAAACGAAGCACTACCTAATTAACTCCCTGTAACCTACCTTTTCCCTATATTCCCTATTTTCCGACACATTTACGTCCTCTAATTACTCAACACAAAGCTGCTATTAGGACAATATCCAACTCTGGCCCCAGACATCACTCGGTACCCCTACTCAAATCTCTGAATATGTTAGACATTAAGTCACTGCACATTCTCTCATGTGTATTATACATATATAAAACGCTAAACTGTAATGCCAATCCTGACCTCAAAAGCTTCATAGAAGGTTGTAACAGAACCCATGAGCACCACACTAGAAATAAATACAGTTTTGATATTCCTAGAGTACGACTTAATCAAACTAGAAATGCTCTACAAATCAAGGGGCCCAGAATGTGGAATGACCTTCCCAACCATGTTAAAGACTGTACCTCTCTCAACCAGTTTAAGATAAAAACGAAGCTATACCTAATAAATTCCCTGTAACCTACCTTACCCCTCTATTGTCAACCAATGTCTGTTTTTTTTTAAAGAGCGCTGTTTGTCGACAGAATTGTATTTGTGCTGCTTTTTCAGCTATGTTTTCATTTCATGTTTTCATTTTACTCTTTATGCTCAATTAGTATTAAGCTTTAGTTATTTAAGTTTTTCATGCCCGAAACGCTTTGCGTAATAGTGGCTTTAGGCATTGTATGTACTAGCTCTTATCTATAAGTCCACCAATCTTTGTAAAAATTTATTGTATGTATGTACCTTACCTAAATAAACATTATTATTATTATTATTATTATTATTATTATAATGTCAACCCATGTCTGTTATTTTTAAACAATGCTGTTTGTCGACCAAATTGTATTTTTGCTGTTTTTCTGCCATGTTCCCCACTTTTTTTTTATTTTTATATTTTCTCAACACATTTTATACTTTAATCTCAATTAGCATTAAGTTTTAGTCTTTAGTGTTTTTCTTGCCCGAAACGCTTTGCGTAATAGTGGCTTTAGGCATTGTATGTACTAGCTCTATCTATAATTTCAGCAATATTTGTATCACCACTTGTATGTATGTACTTTACCTGAATAAACATAAACATAATGAAATACACCGCTGGGCCAGTATGCTAGCGAAACTACAATAAAAGCCCAGGTTCAGACATCGGGCTATAAGTACCGTAAACCTTAGCTGAACTGGGCACCAAGGAGCCAGTAGGATCACCCTCACCAAATATCTCCAGATTGGCCAACACCCAGAGCAGCAATTGAACTGGGGGGAACAACTGAGCATCCATAGTGACCAGTCCAATCGAAAGACTTCCACTGCGACAGCCTCATGGTCAGGGAAACAGAGCCATGTTAGAGGGAAGGCGCCAATTCCACAATGAAACAAAGAGGTCCATCTCCTGGAGCCCAAACTTCCTGCAAAGCCAAAGGCAGGACACGTTTTCAACAGTCCACTCCATGGAGATGGGCCAAAAGCTAGACAACCTGTCCACCCTATCTTAAGGGCCTTAAGGGTCCACGAAGAAATTGGCCACACCCGACACGTTAACCACATTGAGAACCAAACCCCCAGAAGCCAAGCTACACAAAGTATCCAGGACAAATATAATAAAATCGATTTGTCCTGGTGATAAAATCATCAGGACAAATCGGAGACCTTTGGCAAGCTGCCACCTTCCTGTCCTTGTCGAGGCCACTAGAGAGATAGTGGCTCTCATGTAATTTCAGATATCCTGGAAAACATTGAGTTGGACAAGGATATTTAATGGGCAAACATTGAATTAGATGGGTACCTGGAGGACAGAAAGCAGAGTCAGAGACCAGGTTTCAAGGCTCTGTCCTTGGACTGCGGCCGTTCTTAATTTATGTGAGCAACCTACCCGAGGGAGTGAGCTTGTACATCTCAATATTTGCAGATGATGCAAAGCTAACAAAGCATAAAAAAACAGAGGAGGATTGCAGGATGTTACAAGAGGACCTTGACGACTCTAGGAGTGGTCAAACAAATAGTTGCTAAAATTCAATCCCAACAAGTATATAATAAGAATGGGAGAGAAGAGACTAGAAAGCATCAACGCCGTAAGGGGAAAAGGCAACTAAAGGTATCAGAAGGAGTGAAAGATTTGAGAGTGGATATAATTCCAACACTAACACCAGAAGCACACATAAACAGGATAACACTGGCAGCATATGGGAGGCTGGCAATTATACGAACTAAGAACATCATTTAGATACCTAAATCAGGACTCGTTCAAGGCACTCTACACAATATTTGTTAAACCAATACCAGAATATGCCTCACCAGCATGGAATCCACACCTTGTGAAGCATAATGGAATAAATATAGGTTTGCAACAAGATTGGTGCCAGAATAGTCTATTGGAACTAAATCTCACAACCCTAGAAAATAGAAGGAAGAGAATGAATATGATTACAACATACAAGATGCTGACGGAAATAGATAAGGTGGACAAGGATAGCCTCTTCGAACTGAGAGAAAGTAGGACAAGAGGACGCAGGTTGGAAATGCAAAGGAGCCGAAGGAATGTAAGGAAATACTTATACCCTGTACAGATAGTCAACAAGTGGAATGAACTGAAAGTTGCGGAAGCCACCTCTATCCACAACTGAATGGCCAGACTTGACAAAGAATTTGCTCGTCAAAATAGTTCAACTAAAATGCAACGGGTACAACAAGGCTGGTAGCTAGGTCGGGTACATCACTGCCCCATAGACACTGTCAGATATGTATCCTTCATGAAACTCCCAGGTGTTATGCCATCTCTGCAGCATCCTCAGCTTTGGTTCTGGTTCGGTCTCAGGAACAGCGGGGCTCTACGGCCCGATTCAGGGATGAATCCAATATCAACACACACCAACACACTCACCCTCTCACTGTCTCTCTCACTCACCCACTCTCTCCCACACACACACTCACCTGAACATCGTGGACATCATCTTGTGATTTGTCTTCCTCATCCCTCGTCATCCAGTGCCAGATGCTAACTCTCGGGTACTGCACACCTGCGGAGAAAGGAAGACTGATAATTTATTGGGTAGTTGATGCCTTGTGATTTGGGGAGTGATAACTAATGTCTGGTTGGGATAACTGATGTCTGGTTGGGATAAGTCATGTCTGGATGGGATAACTCATGTCTGGTTGGGATAACTGATGTCTGGTTGGGATAACTCATGTCTGGTTGGGATAACTCATGTCTGGTTGGGATAAGTCATGTCTGGATGGGATAACTCATGTCTGGTTGGGATAACTCATGTCTGGTTGGGATAACTGATGTCTAGTTGGGATAACTCATGTCTGGTTGGGATAACTGATGTCTGGTTGGGATAACTGATGTCTGGTTGGGATAACTGATGTCTGGTTGGGATAACTGATGTCTGGTTGGGGTAACTGATGTCTGGTTGGGATAACTGATGTCTGGTTTGGGTGGGTGATGCCTCGTTGTGGTGGGTTATTGCCTATCAGTGCCTACAGCGGTGTGAGGTCTGGCTCCTTATGCACCACCTACTATAGCCTTATACCTGTTGTCTTTCAATAAGAAATAGGAGAGGTCCTAAGGTGCTGCCCTGTGGCACCCCTACGGTTAGTGGGAGAGGTTACGTCATTGATGGCCACATATTGGTGTCTGTCACTAAGATAGGATCGGATATAGTTCAGAGCAAGGCCTCGGATTCCATAATGTTGGAGTTTAAAGTAAGAGGTAGTTATGGTTAACAGTATCAAAGGCCTTTCTCAGGTCAATGAAGAGTCCAATCGGAAACTCATTTTTGTCGAGGGCTGAGAAGATTAAGTCAAGCAGACTAACAATTCCATCATTGGTACTTTTTTTGGGAGCGGAAGCCAAAATGACAGGGACTTAGTACATTGAATTTTACGAGATAGGAGTAGAGCTGTTTGTAAATAATTTTTTCAAATATTTTTGATAATAAAGGTAGATTTGATATGGGTCTGTAATTATTTATGTCTGCCGTGTTACCTCCTTTATAAACTGGTAACACTTTTTATGAACTGGTAACACTCTTGCTTTTTTAAGGATGTCAGGGAAGGTATGACACCCTAGAGATTTATTGAACAGCAAGGCTATGGGAAGTGCAGGGGCATGGGAGGCACTCTTGTATACCATGGATGGTATTTCACTAATGTTCCCAGCTTTGGAATTTAGTGAGTGAATGATAGACACAACCTCTGTAGGGCTGACTGGTGAGAGGAGAAGAGAGTTTGGGTAGCTGCCTGAGAGATATGTGGTAACATGTGTCTGGGTCTGTGGGATTTTTCGGGCAAGGTTAGCACCAATCGATGAAAAGAAGCTATTAAATTCAGTTGCTGTTTCAAGGTCTGATGCAGGTGTATAACCATCCTTGGAGATTTTTATCTTGTTATGTGAATGTTGTTTAGCTCCTAGGATGTTAGAGATGGCTCTCCGTGTGCTTTTCATGTTGCTTTTTGCTTCTTTGAATCTATTCTCATAATAAGAACGCTTTGATCTTATTATACTGGTAAGCACTGATGAGTACCTCTTAACTACTTCCTTTGCAACTAGGCTAATCCTATGTTTTATTTCATAGTCATTTTATTAAATTCTTATTCATTTTTTCATATTCAGATTTATTTATTAGCAATGACGTAGAGAGAGAAAATGCTTTTCTCGAATCGTAAGACTACGCGATAGACACAGTAGATGGGTAAGCACAGTAGACACAGTAGACGGGTAGACACATCTGACCATGTTTAAGAAAGCAAACTGAATACCTAGACAAGCCTACATGATCCGGTGATGACTTGAAATGATGGTAGACATACTTACCTGACCTTGTTGACCAGACCACACACTAGAAGGTGAAAGGAGGACAACGTTTCGGTCCGTCCTGGACCATTCTCAAGTCGATTATCGACTTGAGAATGGTCCAGGACGGACCGAAACGTCGTCGTCCCTTCACCTTCTAGTGTGTGGTCTGGTCAACATACTTTAGCCACGTTATTGTGACTCATCGCCTGCTTACCTGACCTTGACTTTACGTACTACTGACCTTAGTAATGACAGGTAGACGCGCTAATTTCCTTGGTTAACGTTTCGGTTGTGACCCGACTGCGCTAACTACTGCACCAGGACACCTAGTAGACGATGACAGACTGGTACACGTGTGATAACTAACTTGGCGAGGACAGTAGACAAACACAGGTGAATATCTACCTGACTTGGTGATGGTAGACACACCTACCGACTTTGTGATGATGGTGAAAGTAGATGGTAGACACACCTACCTGACTTGGAGATGATGGTGACAGTAGACACGACAAACAACACAAGGAGCCAGAAGGTGGTTTTCTCCCATTTGGTCGGGGCGTACCGCTTGGCCCTGTGGGGTATTACTCACATTAAGAGTAATAATAATAACAATATCAATAATAATAATACACAGATAAATCACAATTACTTGATATATCAATGAACAAATCCACAGGAGCCCTGATTAGGGTTCGAACCTTTGCTGTGAGTGCTCCCAGGCGCCTGGGAACACCCAGCGTATAGATTTGAACCCTCGTCTTGAGATGGTTATCTTGAGATGATTTCGAGGCATAGCGTCCCCGCGGCCCAGTCCTCGACCAGGCCTCCTTTTTGTTACTCACCCCCAGGAAGCAGCTCGTAGCAGCTGTCTAACTCCCAGGTACCTATTTATTGTTAGGCATCAGGTTGAAAGAAACTCTGCCTATTTGATTCCACCACCGCCTGGGATCGATCCCCGGCCCACAGGACTACGAATCCGTAGCGGTGATCACTCAGCCACAGACTCATGAAGGCTCATGTGGATTTGTTCAATAATAATAATAATAATAAGTATGAATGTGTGGTTGGATTTCATTACACCTATAATTGTTTCATGAATATACAGAATAGGTGCTTGAGGATCCTACACAGGTACTTATTGACCATACACAGGTACTTATTGACCATACACGGGTATGTTGACCAGACCACACACTATAGAAGGTGAAGGGACGACGACGTTTCGGTCCGTCTTGGACCATTCTCAAGTCACAATCGACTTGAGAATGGTCCAAGACGGACCGAAACATCGTCGTCCCTTCACCTTCTAGTGTGATACTAATATATTATAATATTAACTTATATTTGAACAAATTTTCGTTTTGAATGAACAGCATGTAAAAATTTATGAATGCGTCTGTGGGGTCGACCGCTGGATGTAATGGACTTGAGTCGAGGACGGGTTGCGTGTGTAAATCGTTTTTCATTCATAAACCGGAGGTTTGGCGGGTGCATGGAATCACTTTTGGGTCTGTTTGGAGGACGGGCTGCACCGTGCTGCTTGGAATTTTTTTGTTCCGAGCAGCTGAATCTAAAACAACAACAACCCAACGAACTTTAACCTTAAATAATTCAAATATTTGGCATTTTCCTCCCTCTAAACGTTATTAAACAAAACTGGGCGGCTTCTTGTCTATTTATACGGGGGGAAGTATGGCACTTTCTGGCCGGATGAGGAACGGGCTTACGCGGTCCACGTACCAGTGAGTAATGTAAATATTGAATATATCTATAATATATTAATAGTGGTGAACGCGTGCTCGCCGTGTGTGTTCCCTGACAACACGCTAGCCTCGAGTACAGACTGGTCCACTTATAATCGATGGGATATGATATATGCAGACATCCTAAAATATGAATAATATACTGAAGATATATGGAGATGCAGTTACAACAGATCCACCCAGTCGCTTTCACAAGTGAGACGACCCGAGTTCGAATCCACAGGCGAGTGGGACGATGGTTCAGCGTTGCTCTGTTAAACGCCTCTGTGCACTCAGTAGTATTTGGGGACTTAGTTTTCAGTAGGGCTGTGTTCTGGTAAATTTGGCAATATAAGGCTTCAAATAAGCTGTTCAGGGATGAGGAGGGGGGGGAGCTCTCAGCCTGTGAACATGGGGGGTGTACAATAAAGTACCACTCACAGGATGAGTATGGGATACACATAATGGTTTATGTGTAAACCAAGTCTTTGAAAATGTAAGAAGCCTTACGAAACACTTCTAGGCGTCAGACCAAAAATAAAAATGTAAAAAAATGAATTTTGGAGAGTTAATTTTTCAATTACCTTCGACAGTGAAGAAAAATTTTGTGCAAGGACTAGGCTATAGGAACGTTGCAAAATACGTTGAGGAGCCTATACTGTGCATGAAGTGTTCACGTTGGGGACATATGGCATGGAAATGCCAGTTTGACCCCAGGTGTCGGTATTGTGGGAAAAATCACGACTCGCGAGAGTGTAGAGTCAAGATTGAAAGAAGTGAAAAGATTATCCCATTTTGTTGCAACTGTCGAGGCAGCCACAATGCTGGTTCCTCTCTATGCCCCATGAAGCCTCATCTGAAAGAGACTAGAACGGGTCCTACAAGCAGGATAGATGTATCCTCGCAGCAAGGAAAAATTGTGCAAGAGGAACATGGAGGAAACAGTTGGAAGCCAACGGCAGCCCCTATGATCAATGTGTGGGAAAAAGGGACGGAGAAAGTAAAGGCGAGCTTAGGGAAAGTACATCATGCAGTGGAAAAACTGAAACCTTGTGACGACAAGGTTCAGGACAATATGGTCACCTCTGAGGTTGGTAATCAAATTTTGGAGTATCTAAAAAAACTAGATAAGAGGATTGAGGCTTTGGAAAAATTGGCTATGGAAGGTGGACGGGGTAAAGATGGTGGTGAAACAGGACGTGTAATTGAAAGTAAAACGAGACGTGAAATGGAAAGTGAAACGTGCGTAGAAGAAAGTAATGATGTGCATGAGGTAACGATGATAGAGGATAGTCAGGAGAATACACTTTCTAGTAGTGTTAGCGGTGTTCAACCTCCTGTTGTGACAAATGGTGAAAGAACGGTTAAAGTAAAACGGGTTACAGAAATAACAAAGAAAATAGATATGAAAAATATTACCTTCGATGTTAGTAGTAGTTGTGAAGGTGAGGAGAAAGAAAAAATGTTACGGTGTTGGAAGGAAGTTTCTAAGGTACTCTTGTATCTCATGGAATGTGACGGACAGGGCAAAGGTAGTTTTATTATTAATCATGGATGAAAGTAAATTGAGAATATTATCTTGGAACATTAATGGATTAAAAACTAGAGCAGTGGATGTACACTATTATACTCTTAGAGAGGATATTGACATAGTAGCACTCCAGGAAACTGGGGATAGGGATGGTAGCATACTGAGGCTAAATGGCTATAGAGGCTATCACTTATATGCTGATGGAGGAATTAGGGGGGTCTCATGTTATGTCAAAAGTACCATACCTGCCGAGATAACTGGAATTCCTCAGAGATATAGAGGTATTGAAAGTATTAGCTTGCGGATACAATTAAAGGACCGAGAGTTAAATTTCATTAATCTATACATCTCTGATAGCTCCCTTGATTTACGATACTTGCCAGATTCCTTCTTTTCTGAAGATACACTTGTGGTAGGGGATTTTAATGCCAGACATCCAGCTTTAGGATCAAGGGGTAAAGCAAATAGGAATGGTTGCAGATGGTACCAGTTTTTGCAGGAACATGAAGATGTTCAACTGCTGGGCGAGCCCTCTCCTACTCATTTGAGGGGAGGGAGATTAGATTATGCTTGTTTAATAAATGCTGAGGGCATAGAGGGGAATTGTCTTACTGTGGATGAAATGCTAAGTGATCATTTTGCATTACAAATACAGCTTAAACTAGATAAAAAGCATGCCTGCCTTCAGAGGAAAAGGTTAAAGTTTAATGAGGGAGAATTAAGGGGTCTTGTCGGCCATATTAAGTCTTGGTATGATACTTATAAGCCGGTTTCGGCAGAAGCATTTTATGAAGATTTAATTAAGGAGGTAGATGTATTTAATGCAACATTGAACCGGAAACCATCTAGTATAAAAAGGCATCCCCCCAGAAAAGAAAATTATACACATGACAAGATGCTTAAGGGGTGGACATTAACAATGAGGAGAGCTCACAGGGATTGGAATAGGAATGGTAGGACTGAGGAAGGGAAGAATGCTTTACTGGCAGTTGCTAGGCTGTGTGGGGAGAAGAGAAAGGAAATTAGGAGCAAGTATTGGCAGGAATTTGCAGAGAAAGTTGGGAGTAACAGAAACTTGAAGGAAATCTGGCAAGACGTAAATAAAATAAGGGGTAAAAAGCACAATTTTGTTGCACATCCAGACCCGCAAGGAATTGCAAATGAGCTCGTAAATAAATGGGCGGAAGCTGCCAAACTTAGTTCATTACCCGCTGTAACGAGAGAGTCATTAGATTCTTGGAAAGATCTAAGAAAGGATTTTATACTTATAGCAGGTAACAGTGGTGATGTCACTTGCACAGGTATTACCAGAGAAGAACTAATAACGGCGATTAAAGTTGGGAAATCTACCGCACCTGGGGAGGATGGAGTAACTTATGAAATACTTAATGAACTTGCCACTATGACGAAAAGCCCACTTTTAGACCTCTTTAATATTAGTTATAAAGAGGGCAGTATTCCCAGTAAATGGAAAAAAGCTATGATCATCCCTATCCCTAAAGCCAATGGAGAGTATAGACCTGTGTCTTTAACCTCGTGTTTTTGTAAAATGATGGAGAGGATCATTTTAAATAGACTTTTATATATAATAGGTGATCAGCTGTCTAGTAATTTGTTCGGGTTCCTCAAAGGAAAAAGTACCTCTGATTGTATTACTAAATGTCTAGCTAATGAAAATGATTATTATAGAATTTTCATTGATTTACAAGGAGCTTTTGATAAAGCCAACAAAGAGGTTATTTTATATGAATTAGCTAGTCTTGGTGTTAAAGGGAAATTATTGCGCTGGATAGGGGATTATCTTTACGAAAGGAAGGCTCAGGTGTGGTATCAAGGTTGTATGTCAGGTGTGAGGTCTTTTGAACTCGGCACACCTCAGGGAGGAGTTTTGAGTCCCACCCTGTTTAATGTACTAATGAATAAGATAGCATCTGAGAGATACTCAAATGGGGTAACTCCGATCATATATGCCGATGATATTTTATTTCAGGGCAAAGATATTTCAAAGGTTCAAACAGTGTTGGACAATTTCGGAAACCTGTGTCACCATATGGGACTGGTGGTTAATGAAAACAAAACTAAGTTTGAATGTAGAAGTCGGAGCCCCATTGTTTTGAAAATAAACGATAAAAATATAGAGAGAGTTCATATATATAAATATTTAGGCATATATGTTGGATATACCCATGAGAGTTTGGAAGCTGAGATGAACAGACTGTTGGGTCAATGTCGGAAGAGATTACAACCTCTGAAGGCTTTGGCATGCTGTGGAAAGGGAGTGGGAGTCCCAGTGCTACG